ACACATGCCCATTCCATCCCTTGTTGAATTGCAATATATATCCTTGCTGCTGCAGATAGTTCCACTGCACTCAAAATCCATATGTTGGATTCTGGTGATCACATTTCTTCAATGTTCATGTATGTACAACAAGACTTTTCCCTTTTTAACCCCTGCTAACTAAAATATTCCCGCGCGCACAAACAAATCAAGATGCCTACTTTCAGAATGATGCATCAAGCTACTTCTGTTCTCTGCTAAACCATGCAACAGAATAGTGACAAGCTGACAGCTTCTGTGGCTGCATCCATATTTAACTGGTGATGGCTGCTTGTCATTCATCATGTGATATGATTATTTTTTTTCTTGTTCTTTACCGACAATAGGACATAGAGATAATCCAAAGAACAGTGAGGAATCTCGTGGATCAGCATATCTAAGATACCATTGTGTCAGTTACTGAGTGCCTTGTTAGTCGTGACAGTACATCTAATATTTCACTTGATCATCTGTGTCGTTCTCTTAATCTCTCCTTTGTTTCGACAGGCATGATATTATGACCGTGCTTCAAAGATCCTTAGGAGATTATATCCCCTTCTTTGCATATTGTGCTTCACAGTGCAAGGAGCAAGGAGGAGATTGAATTTGTAGGTTAAGGTGATCATATCATGACAGTTACATTACTACTTGCTGGGTGTGCGAAGTCTCGGTGGATCGGGCTAGAGAGGTGCGGATTGTGTGGTTATTAGTTAAACTCAACAGCTGGAAGCAATACAGTTCTAACTTAGTATGTCTCCTAGTCTATCTTATTACAATTACAACATTGACCAGTAGTGTGCTAAGTTCTTAAGTTAGGATTAGGCCAGGTGATCCTTTCTAGAGTTCTTGTGTTGTTGATTAATTTAGGCACTTTTGGAATGAATTAATATGGGGGCCAGAATCGTCCTTCCCGAGATCTAGCAAAAAGTGGTGCAATACGCTCCCCGACCTGATCTATTATTATGCACGGAGGATCCTTTTATATTTGCCCTTTTCTGTTTTCTTTCATGGTTTTCATTTTAAAGATGAGGTATGCATGTGTTTATCATTTTCAAAAAGTTTCTTGAGAGATCGCAGAGTTTAAGTTTTGTGAGGTGTGGACGCCTAGGCGGGGAGGATTGGGGATGCTTATGCTGACATTTTTTTTGACACCGTCATCGAAGGACATGCAACCTCACCACCACCGCCTGTGAATCCCATTATCCTTCTTCAAATTAGAGCACCCCCACGTACCTCAACCTCTGTTGCTGGCGGAACCACCGTTGCCACTAATCTCAACATCTTCTTCTTCATCTCCTATCCACACCTGCCACCTCCATTGCCAAATTGGACTGTATCATCACCCCAGACGTGCGGTGCCCTGGCCGCCCCACCTCGTCGCCGTCTGGACCGCCTCTACCACCTGTTTGATAGCTCCTCGGCACCCCTCTACGATTGGAAGCCCTGAACCTAAACCCCTCCATCGAACAAGAGAGAAGTGAAGGAAGAGGAGGTGAGCGAGGATGGACATATCTAGCATTAGAGGAGGGGGCAGTGGCGGGGTGTCGTGGAGGACAAGCTAGCTAGGCTTCAGCACCCCTTTGCTCGATGATGTTCTACGGTTACCCCTGTCAATGCGTTCTTTGTTTCATGTGTCAGAGTGATAATAATAATCATAATAATTAACTAAGAAAACAAGCAGTCTTTAGCTAGAAGTTAGAAGCAACATGAATTAACCCCTCCTTTGGTTGATGCCGCGCTCCGCCGCTGAGAGGGGGTGTGACAAATTCACTTCCCATAGTATATGTAATGTATAGATGAGGTGGCTAGGCCTCTAAACGGGTTAGGTGAACGAGAGATATGACCTATATATCATAGAGTGACTCCCTCAAATTATGAAGATACCTTGTCTTAGAGTAGCTTCCAAGCTAAATCCAAAAGGAGCTTTGCCGATCAGTTTTTTTTACAAAAAAATTAATTCCATGCTATTTATGTGAAGCGACTCTCTAAATTGATCAAAGGAGATAGGAGCTAAAAAATTTGATTCTCCTAATTCATTTCGCACACAAAATCACTTCCTCTATAGAGTTTATCATAGAGAACCATGGTGAATCACTTTGTGGATTTATCATAAAGAACCAAAGGGAACCACTTTGATCCACAAGATCCCTTTTCTTAGAGAATTAGCTCTAGAGAATCATAAGTCAGTGGGACTCTACCAATCTAGCCCTTAGACTATAGACAGGTAGATTTCTTTAACATTGTCCATCAATTACGCAAAAAGTACATAGATTGATGGCACGGTTGATGTTACTAGATTTAATACAGTTATAACATATAACTTTCTCAACTTAAAATAGCACATTTCTACAAAAATTGAAACAGTTAGAAAAGAGGGTGCGTCGATATCCTAATAAACAACATGCATTTGTAAATCAATGTTGTATACTTGAACACATGCACATGTGTTTGATACATATTGTATATGCAAGCTTCAATAATATACATATATGAGATGAGATGATTGCAATTAGTATATTCATTGATTAAGTGTAGCCACTAGGGGTTTACCTAACCAGTAATGTATGAAAGGATAATTAATGGAATGACACATATATATACTCTATATGTAGAAAGCACAGTGACTAAGGGCCAACGATTTTAGTATTCTTGGTGTGGGGCCACAGCCGGCCGGCTGTACAAATAAGTGCATGTGCTTCTTCATGGAACCCAGCCTTGTTAACAGATCGAGGACACCAAATTAAAAGATCATAACGTTGGCAACCTACTGAATATCTGAATCAATCCCCCTTCAATAAGGTATACATATATTTGTCCAACAAAATCCATCCAGGTCATGCACACACATATCGGAAATGTGACCTGCTGAGGAATCACATTATATATGTGTAGTGTGTGTTCCAGTAAGGTAAGGTAAAATGAAAATATACATTTAGCCTAGGTAAATGATTCTAGTATTTCTGGAGCACACATATATACTAGCTAGCTAACTGGCTGTACAACCCTACAATAATGCAAGAGCAGTAACTAAGTAAATTATTATGAGGAGCTAGACGCCAAGACATAAGTGATGTGCGCAGAGATGGATCCAAGCTAAGAGTATATATGCATGTGTATGTACGGTAAAGTTCAGAGCAAACAGATGTCCTGGACCTGGAGCACACACACATATATATTTATATATATGCTTATATATATGTGCACTTGGTGAAGAGACAGAGATGCTTGTCACAAGGGACCTTAATCTCACCCACTCACAATATATGCCACTGACACATTCCAGCACCCACAGTTAAGAATACGCATGTACTATACGTGTACTGCCATGCATGGAATAATAACTACAAACGAGGTGCGCCCACTGCAGCTCTACTGCATGCGTCCATCTTTGCAGTCGCACGGATCGATATGATTCCTCTCTCTCTCTCTCTCTCTACAGCTGATCACAACACAGACCAAGCCAAGACATATGATCGATTGTTCCCTCTGTCTCCACCGCTCCTCATCTGATCGGTGGCAAGCATCCAAATTAAAAGCCAGCAGGGAAAAATATACTCATCGTATATGGACGATAACTGGTAATCTGAATGAAATAAAAGAGAAAAATACCAAAAAGTATGATGCGTGTATATTAATTAATTAATTAATAAGCATGAGTGTGCTAGCTAATAGCATCATTTACAGCAACTGTAAATTTATATGCAGCCACCTTAATTTCTAATACTGGTAGTATGTCTGACATAATAAAGGAGAGATTAAAGATTATATTTCTTGCTGTGCCCTTAGCTTGCTCCATAGAGATGTCGTGCAAAAGACAAGAACATATAACCACTTGGCCCTGTCTACTGTTTGCTTGTGATCGATCAGAGCTAGAGGAAGAAACAACACCTTATAGTTGAAGGGGGGAATCAAGGACCAGAAGACTGATGCCAAAAAATACAGTCAATTCAGAGGCAAGCATGTACCCAGCAATTTGGTTCTAGCTAGGTAGTGATATATGGACAAAGGTTTAATCATTGTTTGGCAGTGTATATATGCATGAATCTCGTTATATATTCAATCAACCATATATCTTTATTATACAAGAAATAGCTATATATACGCCAGTTTCTGGGAAAAAAACCTACAGGGTAGTTTTACATTTAGTGTCAGAACAAATATTTTGGAAAATGATGATCTATATATATTAAGCATGCATGTAACAAAAAAATCCATCATTTTACCGATACCAAGGAAGCTTCTCGATCTATCTTTGCTCTTAGAGCATTGTATTTATTCCTTCTATAACAGAACAAAGTATAGTACTTGAATGACGCATATGACTACAAATCTTGACAAAAACTTGAGTATGTAGGCTACGAACGAAGAAAAAGGCATAAAAGGCCAGTGATCGTCAATGAACTAATAACAATCCAATAATTAGCTCATCCTGTACAATCGGCATCAATGGCGAACATAACATATAACACACATGAAATGGTTCACCATATTCATGATCATATCAGTCGAGCTATACATGCATGTAGTCAGGAAATATCATGAAAGGAACTACCTATAGTGGCAATGTTTTAATTTAGTGATTATCGGTTATTATAGTACACATATTAGTTTGAAAATTATATGCAAAATCTTTTCTAATAACAAAAAATTGTGCACCACTTGAAATCCTGATGTATATATGTAGAACTCTAGTATACAATCAGCATATACATATTTAGAGAGCTAAATAATAAGGCATTTGGCCAAAGGAGTATCGATCGATCGGCCTGGATATACAAAATCAGGAATAACAATATCATCATGCAGAAGATGACCAAATTAAAGAGGCCCACAGAGCACGGACAAATGAAATTAATCAAGAACAAGGATCACGAGAAGTATATATGAAGCAAGCAGATGATTCAGTTGTGCACGCACACACTCGATCTTATGGTGAGAAGAGATAGATGGATCATTCACGCAACTTAATTTAGGAGATCTAGCTAGCTAGTGCCAAGCCTGAGCTCCAGATCCACTTCTTCTTGCCGGCCTGCAAGATGATGCAGTGGACTGAGGCTACTAGGGCTTGAACTGGTTACTTTGGGTACCTTTGCATCATGCTCAACTCCTCCTTTGGGTGATGATGCCGGAAGCCGCAGGTCGTAGAACGGCGATGTAAACGCCGGCTCTGGTGGCTGTGGGACTACTCGCCTTCGCTTTCTTCTCCCCGCCACCATGATCTCCTCCTCCTCCTCCTCTTCTTCCTCCTCCTCACCCATGATTGCTATAGCGGCTTCTTTGCTCCCCGCTGTTGATGCAGGTATGGAGATGACTACCTTGCTCTTGCTCTCCTTGATGATGGTCGTTGATGTGTACCGAGGAGAAGTGGTGGTGGTGGTGGTGGTAGTAATCACAGCCTCCTCCTCCCTGTTATTATTGTAATAATTTTGGTGATGATGATGATCAGAAGCAGGGCGGCCAGAGATTAATACTGCCGCCTTGGTTGTCCTGAACAAGGGAGATCCCTGCAGTTGCAGAAGCTGGTGGTGATCCGCCAATTCCGGCGCTGGAAGAGGCGCGGCGATAGGCTCCTGGTCATGATCCGGCGGGGACGACGGGGAGGCGCACTGCCGAAGGCGAGCCCGGTCGCGGCGGTGCACGTTCATATGGCCGCCGAGCGCCTGCGCGGACCGGAACTCTCGGCGGCAGAAGGTGCACGTGTAGGAGCGCGGCGGCCACACGCAGCCGCCGAGTTGCCCCGCCGCGTCCCGGGCGAAGGCCAGCTCCTCCCACGACGGCTCACCGCCGCTGCGGCCATGCGCTGCTGGCGGCGGCCAGCTGGACCTGATGAGGCTACTAGTCGCCGCACCAGCGCCGGTCGTCGTCGTCCTTGCGGCGCCCAGCATACCCCAGTAGTACTTGGCCATTTGGTCTACCGCGGCGTTGGTGGAGTTCATGGGCTGGGGATGCTATATGCCTATGCCAGAGCCAGAGCTAGCTGATGCCTGATGCTTCTAGTACGACGACTACTGCTGCGGCTGCTGCGATCGACTTGTAGTAGTCATCAGTGGCGCATGCCAACTTGGAGTTGGAGTGGATTGGATGGAGAACGGAGCTAGCAGGCTGGGTTTTTGTTGTTTCCCTATCTATCTAGCTAGCTAGTGCCAATGGTCCAATTGATACCATATGTTATGGATGATGTGACACATATACAGATACTTAACTTGCGTGCAACGATCCCCTGAATGTGTATATATGTACCATGAGTGGGTATCTAGCTTAGTTTACATGCATGTAGTAGTAGCTCCTAATACATACATATAAGAGAGGAGGAATGAAGCTAATGGCACCGTATGTAGCTGCTAGCTAGTTAGTTTAGAAGTCAGAACCAAGTCTTCTCAAATTGAGGATTATTTGTACGTTTGCTTGCTTATTAGGTGTTGGTGGGTGTGCCAAGTTTGTTTTGTTGCTGATTTCAATTCAGGAGTTGGGAGAGGCACTGTCTCTTGCTTTGGTGCACAGTAGTAGCAGTGGCCACAAGCAAGCTATATTAGCTGGCGACATATGCGTTTTGTTCTCTGCTACTGATGTCATGGCTACTATACATATAGGGGGGGGTTGTGAGTGCAAGTTTTGTAACAAGAGGGTGTAAATATGGTGAAATTTAGGCTCTTACCACTATTTTTTATTTTTTTCATAGGCGCGGCCGCACCCAGCACAATGAATATAGATCCGCCCCTGACTACATATAAATACATTCTACTATCATTGGACAAATTCAATCAACTAATATAATTTGTATGTTAGGAGGATTTTGCTCTTAGTTGGTGCCTCCATGCAGGAGCCAGGAGTATAGCGCGTACGTATATATTAGATTCACTGATTCAAGTTTCGAGATCTAGCTATGCACTTATTTTCTTGAATAAACCAATTGATGTAGATATATGTAAATTGGATTTATTAGTCAAGCGCACAGCACTTAGCTTGAAGCTGCTATCAAGCTAGCTAATGAGTATGAATAAGAGTAGTAGCTAGGGTTAGTTTATTTTAGTGGGCATGTGATCCAATCACTCATTTCTATTGCCCCTCTCCCACCCACCAATGAACTTGACAATAAGAATCATATATTATGTATATATATACACTGAGTATATATATGTACAGTAAAGTTTAAAGTTATTAGACATCACGGTAAAATATTTTATACTCACAAAAAGAATATACATGATGCTTTTACATGCATCCCTGGAAATAATCAGCAAGACCCGGTCCTCTATTATCTCTAAATTAAAAGTCTAAGAACAATATTAGACATTTACGTACAATCATATATATATATATATATATATATATATATATATATATATATATATTATAGGTAGAAATCACACCCACAACTATATGTGGGACTTCTATAGGAGGAGTGCGGGAAGTCGATCAACAATTTGATTTTTTTTAAGTTATTACCATATATATGTGCTTGTCTTTTTTTCCCCAGAATGAGCAGTGATTGTTTATCATACACCCATAGAAGACCACAAGCATATATTAAGCAAACAATATATTGAGCATATAGATCATGACCTAGTCAGTAAACTGAGAAGTGGACTCTCAAACTTGAGCAATTTGACTGTGTCTATGGATCGAATCTTAGAATTTGACGAGTGGATATCAGTTATTAAGAACTAGATGGACACATATATATATATGCAGCATAACGACTATGAGTCAAAGATGACTACTGGTTACTTTTAAATTTTATTACCTAGCGCGACATGTGCATTTGTGCTAATGATTTTATTTCATGCTGATGGACATATCTAACAAACAAGCTCATCAGGGGAAAGAAAGGAAGAACGAGAAATAAGAAAAAAAAAAGGAATGATGGAGATCGATGTACACATAAATATATATCGTACCACTCACTCACTATACATGTGTGATAGCTTGCACTCCTCAACCACCACTTTTTGGCCTTTAATTTGTCTTTTCACTTGTTTGATCGACCCATGGATGGTGGACCAGCTAGCATATATATGCACACGTCACTGATTCAACTAACTATCTCTCTGTGTCTCCATCGATCATCCCATGGGTCAATGTGTGAGATAGTATAGTCTCTCAAGTCATAATAAAGCTGATGCTTGTGTGGATGCCTTTGTCTTGTGACCTTTGTCTCCCTTTCCCATTATCACACACACAGAAATATCGATATAAATAGTACGAACGTATATGCCCCTGCAGGCTGCATATTTATCACACACAGAAATATCGATATAAATAGTACGAACGTATATATTTATGTGCTACTAATTAAACTAATGTCTCCTGCCTGCCTTTTCAATACTAGCACTGGTATCATACTCATTGTGTATCCCTGAATTAGCAGGGATAGATGTATGTACGTGTATATATTTATGTGCTACTAATTAAACTAATGTCTAGTTGCTGCAGTAGCAGACTGCGATTATCTCATCAGCTAGCGCAATAATATTCCTGCTTCATTCGTCTCATTATTTTATGGACGTAGTACTGCACTAATTAATTGAGTAATCAGCTGCTGCATGCTACCGTGCATTCTATTGGACTGATTAATATATTTTTAGTAATCATTATTGCTACCACGCTGTTTGGAAGAGGGGATCAGTACGTACTGTAAAAAGAGCTAGCCCTATGCTGATGAATTCAAAGTCGTTGAGATTTCAAAGGAAAGGCGGACATGTGTGAGATTTTCAACCAAATGTATCTAGCTGTACAGATTAAGGGCCTGTTTGATGAACAAGGTTAATTGTTAGCCAACTAATTTTTAACCCTAGCCATCCGAACGATTGTTAGCCGCCTAAAACTAGTTTATTAGCCAACTAGTTAGCCAGCTCTAATTAATTCGAACTAATTTTTATCTCCAACTAGTAACTAGTCTTAGGGCCTGTTTTAATGGGATCAAGCTAGTTACTAGTTGCGCTAGAAATTAGCTCAAATTAGTTAAGATTGGTTAGCTAGTTGGCTATACCAACTAGTTGAAGGTTTGTCTAAAAAATTAGCTCATCTATTAGCCCTCGTGTTTGAATGCACTAGGTCTAATTTTGGCTAGCTAGCAATTAGTTTTTTAAACCAAAACAGATCCTTAGCTGATCCAAAAAAATAGACCCTAATAAGTCTGGAAAGCATTTCTGGAAAAGAGGTTGTGCGTGATAAGTTGAACTCGGCCGGAATGGCAGTGCAAGCATGTTGCCGTACGTTTGCTTCTACGTTGAGCTCATTATTACCATTAGCAGATCAACTGGAAACTATCAATCAATCGATCCGTCATGCTCGTGATGGGGCCCGCCGGACGTGCTGGATCGATCAAAGATTCTTCTTCTCCAGTCTCTAGCTACCGTGTCAGCATTGGGTGTGTTAATTAGCCACCGGCTCTCTCCCATTTCACGCCGCCGGGACGATTATATATTAATTATTGGATGACTAATTATATAATAACTAACTTTCTCGATCCCTAGCTACTAACACGCAAGCAAGGGCATCAAAGGATGCACATCTATGAAATAGTAACAAATTGGCTTCAAATCAAAGAGAAGAAAAGAAGGGAATGAAGAATCTGTCTGTTATTCCTTAGTTAGTTTCAAACCACTAAACGAGTCAAAACTTATGAATAATGCTTTCTTAATCAGTCCCAAAGTGTCTTTGTTCAACCTCATCACTACTCTAGAAAATCTCATCTATTATGGTTCTGAACTCTTATCCCTCTTGTTGACAGCAAAATATGATGTTTTAGAGATCTTGTTTGGATGCTTAGTATGCATAGCTTTGCAAACTATTGTGTTGGTCCCGTCGGGACCAAGAACATAGCAGAGACTATAACCCGGAATATGAGGAGGTTGTTAAGGAGTATGAGGAGGAGGTCCTCGTCGGCGTGTTCCCAAAGCCCCCGACTAACCTTCTCACTAACTTGGTTCCTACCTAAGGAAGTCCCAGTGCATAACCCCCTAATTTTATAAGCACTTATTATTACGTTGGTGTGCATTAAGTTTTAGAAGTTGATTGGAACCCACCTACATTCCTTAGAGATTGATCAAAAGTGAGATTGGGAGAGACGTAGTGCATTTGCTTAGAGAGTTTTCATCTCGTGGCACTAGTTCATCATTGGGATGTGAATTCCTTGTTATTCTTGGTGATTGTTGCCACCTAGTAGATGGCTTGGATTATCTCTTGCCGGCATTGGTAACTGTCGGCACGGAATTTCATTCCCTGCCGAGGGCACATGAGCAAGCCGGAAGGATCTGCTCGATGGAGCTGGAGATCCGCCTATCTTCAACACAGGGATTATTGATCATGCGCACTCCTCCCGAGACGTGCCAGTCAATTTGACCCTGCAATTGACAAGAAAAGAAAGCTAATCAGTAATTTAAGGCGGAACATACCGGTATTGCTAGACAGTCTCGAATGTGTGGCTCTGAGAGCCAATGTGGAGGGAAATCGACTAAATAGTCAATTCCAGCATACTTATAAGAATAAATCAGTTAAAGTTCATGGGGTTGTAGAAGAAAATCGGTTATCATTCGGGATGAATATCATTATTAAGACAAATATTAGTCAATGGCAATAGGATGTCAACAATAATCAGTTTATGCTAAGCCAATGACTGCAAGTAACCGAATCTCTTTTTATACAAAAGAAGCAACTCATCACCATTTAACCATTTAATAAAGATAAATCTAATGAACATATTAGATATCATCTATCGCTATGACCAGTGGGACATGAGGCAGAATCATGCAGGCCATAGAAACAACAATAGATTCGACGACCCTAACTTATTACTAATATCAGTGGGACATGAGGTAGAATCATGCAGGCCGTAATACAATAATAAGATCATAGGGCTAACACATCTTTCGACCTATCTTTACTTCAACAGTCTCATGGCGTGAACTGCATATGTGAAAGTACTCGATATCGG